GCTAAGCAATGCCCAAATTGCAAAATGTTATCAAAAGTAGTCTGGCCAATGGTTTAACATACATATGTAATAAATTTCATTTAATAAGAAAACAGGAGTATGTAGTCTAATGTGGTAGATTCAGTCACCAGCCTTGAGAAAAAATTTTTCAAAAATTTCTCCCAGCATATGTGTAGACTTCATGTTCTAGAGCTTTAACATTTGATTCTCTATGGACAGCTCATTGTTCATGAAAAAGCCCAGAATCTGACACCTAATGGGTACCTTATTGACTTGCATTGGTCCATTTTAAACTCCATTTGAATATTATGACTAACATGCTTAATAATTTTAATCATAACTCACGAAACTCTTAGATTTAACCCAGAACTTTAACCCAGAATTTCCAGGGAAAAACTGATGACTTTGTAATAACTGGCCCCATGCTTTACCTATATCTAATATGCCGGGAGTCATATTATTCCAAGGGGCCAACTTGACCCTGTTTCCAGAGATTTCTTATTTATTTATTTAGTCATAGTAGTATATAAGAACAGTTTCAAGACAGGTTGTACTTGAAATGGAAGCTGTCCCATCTCAAATTCACTTCTAAAAGGCAGCCACTTTCACCTCTAATTGTTTCCCCTTGCATTTATGTCAATAGTTCTAAATGCTGTGATCTGCTGCTATTTATTGATTGATCAAACATTTATTGTCTTCCTGCCATAAAAGATAGATTCAGCTCTTAGACCACCAGCACCACTTCTTATTCTTTCCTTCCTTGTGCTGACCTTTCCAAAAGAGTTATATTACAATCTTTGCCCCCTTGCTCCCTCTTCCCAAGTACTTTTATCACAATTTTGTGCTAACTAGATGGTCAATTTATGCACTATGTATGACTACTGTTAATTTCTAATTCAAGGGTTACATTGTGATTACATTTCTTTTCTTACATTTTATTTTCCTCAAATTGAAGTTGCCTTTTTACCTACTGAATTTTTTTTCATGCATCTGTACTTTTTTCAAATGCTTCCACAGATTTCTCAAATGCCAAGTTCTTTTATAATCAAATCTCAAAATAATCAATAAACTTTTAAGGTCCCCCACTTCCTTTTATTTTCAGCATACTGCCTTATTTCATCTTGCAGCTCCAGTCTACACCTATTGCAGAGCTGTTATATGGTGATATCATTTATCTCTCCTCCATGTCAGCTCTGTTGTGCACTAGATCTGATATTCTTCTCTTTTTTGATTTATTCCCTCATTTTTTAATAGGCACATTCTCCAGCAATTTCTTTAAGATCATGGGGAAAGTAAACATTTTGAAACCCTAAATACATATTTATTCAACCTTCACCTGTGTTTGATAATTTGGCTGGGTATAAAATTCTGGGGTGGAAAACATTTTCTCTCAGAATCTTGAAATTTGACAGTTTTCAAAGTTCCATGGCCTTCTAGTTTCCAAGTTGCTTTGAGAAATCTAATGTTATCTTCTCTTAAACTGCTTACTATACCATCCATTGCTTTCTATCTCTATATGCTGAACTCACTTCTACTCTGACTACTCTTCTAAGTAAACTTGTTCTTTGGAGTCTATGCCATTTAAAAAAAAAAATACCTTGACTGTAGCTTTAGTGAAGTTTTGATATAACTAAATGGGAAATTCTTTGACCAGTCCATTTTTTACCCAAAGTCCAGTGAAATCTTTATTAAACCTATTAAATCCTTTAATATGTGTGTGTGTGTGTGTGTGTGTATACCCTGACTTAAAATATAGCTCAACTTCTGAATTTTCAATTTTCTGAAGGTGTAAAAGCCACATGCATTCAATAGAAACAATACATCAAATTTTATATTTTACCTTGTTAATAATATACTACATATTATTCTTGTGATTGCGGGAAGCAGCAGCAGTGAGGCACAGCTCCCAATCTGCCAGATGGTCACAACCAATATTCTTCAGTGTACTATGCTACTGAACTATGTTTTTCTGTAGGTCAAGTGCACCACATGCACTTTTTACTTAATATTTTCAACTTATAATTAAGTTTATTTATTAGTATATAACCCCATTATAAGTCAAGGAGCATCTGTAGCATGACAGTATTCTATTAGCAATTCTGATGGTAGGTAGACTATTCCCATTTGGTGATGAGATAGTTGAGGATCCAGAAATATGGCAGTTTTTTTTTTCAATTTAAAGAATCTGTACTAGACGTAATATTCAAATTTAAAACTGACCTTCTCTGCTCCAGCCTAAGGCACACATACTACAATGTACTTGCAATGGAAGTCACAAGTAACAAAATAAGTCAGACCATGGCTTCTCTGTGTCTTGCTAGAGTAAACTAATGTCACTGCTGTGATGTGAATCATTCCTTTGAACTATTCTCTGAACTTCAGAGCACAAGCTCTCCTCTTCAATCACTTTTGTTATTCCACAGTGGAAATTGAAACACCTAAAACCAAATAATTGCTGGTGGTCTGACTCATACAAAACAGTGGAGTGTACAAGAACAGACATGGAAAACTGAAATCATTGTGTTTGGGTTTGAAGGAAAATTTACCTTAATATATAATGACACTATTTCAGAGTCCAGCACACAATGAAACAACTTTCATCTTTGACGTTTCTACTTACGTTTCCACATAGGGCACAAATAGCATTCTCTCATTTGAAAATGAAAAAAATAAGTAATTACTTTTCACATCTCGTCTTTTGAAAGCATAGCAGTTTCTTTTAGCTAAGCGATTATTCTCAAAAAGAAAAGGGACTTTCCAACCACTATTTATGAACACATACCCAATAATTTATGGTGTGTGCATGTGTCACCTCAGATTTCTGTCAGCAGACAGGCTTTGTATTACACAATGCCTTCCCAGAAGGAGAATTCAGGCAACACCTGCAAAATCATTTCTAGTTCAAATGTTTGCCCATTGCTTTTCCCAGGTGAGTTTCAGGTCCTTGCATTCCCTTTTTTATCATTGAACTAACCCCAACTTTATCTCCATGTAGGTTAAACAGATTGAGAGGAAATATTTGGGTCAAGCAGTGCAAGAGTGAAAGTAGGCAAGACCTAATCTGGCTTGGGGCAAATCATTCAAACATACCCTTGAGGCTTTTAGTCTTTAAAATTAAATAATACAGATGGATATTTAACTTTTGAATACTTTTTCTATGTTGCTGATGAATCAATTTCAATAACTATCTCACACCAGTCATCATTGTTTCACTGCATATGTGACTATGAAAGAATTTTTTCATTAACTTATTTAATGCAGCCAAGCACAGTGGCACACATCTGTAATCCCAGTGGCTTGGAAGGCCAAGGCAGGAAGATCATGAGTTCAAAGCCAGCCTCAGCAAGGTAAAGCACTAAGCAACTCAGTGATGCACTGTCTCTAAATAAAGTACAAAAAAGGGCTGGGGGTGTGGCTCAGAGGTTGAGAACCCCTGAGTTCAATCCCCAGTACCAAGAAAAAAGAGAAAGAAAATTATTTAATGTATGTTTATTGGGCATCAGGCTCAGAGTGAAATATACAAAGGCAAATGAACAGACATGGTCCTAAGCCTCATTGAGTTGACAGTCCAGAGGAAAAGGAAGACAGAAGCAAGTTCTCAAGTAAATAATAATAGTGATAAATGTTATAAAAGATAACCACAACATGCTGGGAGGAAGGATAATAGGAAATAGATAATTTAGGCTGGAGAGAAGAAATGTTTTTAAGGAATCTTGATTGAAAAAAATACAACAGATGCAAATATGAGGGGTCACTTAGCCAAGAGAAGAGTGGTAGAAACAGCATCCCAGGCAAACGGAGCTGTAGGTGTCAAGGCCTTGCAGAATTTAAGAGTTTGCATATTCAAGAAACTAAAAGAAGTCCACATGACTAAAACCTAGTGAACCAGAGGGATTGGCCTGAGATAGAGTCAAAGGTGGGCTCCCACCGAATCATGCAAAGCTTTGCCACCATAGGGAACATTTTGTATGACATCAGAAAGCCAAGAAGAACCTGCTCAAAGATGTTTAAGCAAAGGAAAGAAGTGACTAAATTATATTATAAAAAGACCACTCTGGCCACTATATATACGTTGAGTTATAAAAGGGGAAAAACAGATGAAGGGGATGAGAGCACATTGGTGGGGGGAAAGGTGGATTTTTTTAATCTTGGGATACCTTCATTTTGGATCTGTAGTCAGTTGTAATAGTTAGTTGGGTGCCTGTGGACCCAGAACTCATATTATATGGACATATTCATTTTGATATCTTCACCCTAAAGACTATTTTAGTAGAGACCCACTGCCTCTCCAGGTGGTCTTCTTGGGCAAAAAATCTGTGTAATCCTCATCTGTGCTATCACACCATTTGACCTCATGCACCCATTTTCCTGACAAGCTTTCAGAGTGCCAGCCTTGCCAGCCACATTCTGAACCATGAACGCCATCTTCCTACAGCTCTTACACTCCACACACCTGTCTGGCCTCCCAGTGCCTCTCCTTGCCTCAGCCTTGGGCTTTGGTGCAGCACTAAAATGACCAGGCAGGTGCTGGTATCTGATTGAGTCCTCTCTCCCTATTGCAGAAGACCATCAACACCCCTTTCACCCAGACTTTGCCATTTCCCCTGTATCAATTATTTTCCTGAGTTTTTTCTAAGACCTCAAACCTCATTACAGGAAGGCAAGCAAGAATGGGTAAAATGATAGGACTTGCACCCCTCGGTAAGACCCAGAAAAGTAAAAAACACATGGCCTATATAAAGAGTAAGGAGAGTGGATCTTGCTAGTTTTAATTAAGAGGAAAAAGAAATGGAGAGAAACCAGAGCAGATACCTTAGGTAGAAAAATGTAGGAGACAGTCAAAGAATTTACCATTGTCTTTTTTCATTTGGGAAGTTGAGTGGAAAAGTAATTAGGAAGAATTTCCTGGTTATTGGAAGAATCTCTTTTTCATCAATTTAGAGGGGTATCTAGGAAAGGGTAGGCTGTATCCTAACCAAAGTTTGCCCTGTGCCTAACAGGAACAAATGCTAAGCACGGACTGCGCTGCAAAGCCTGTAAGATGAGCATCCACCACAGGTGCACAGACGGCCTAGCACCCCAGCGGTGCATGGGCAAGCTGGTAAGGGCTCATGCCAACAGGAAGCCCCAGACTCCTTGCCCCAACTCCAGCTCCTCGTAGCTCTGAAGTCACCCCAGCATCCCTGTCCTGCTCACTTGGCTCCCTAATTAACATAAAGATAAAGAAGAGGTGGAGCTAAGTCAACCCTCTAGACAAATGCTGTACATTAGAGGGAGTCAGGGTCCTTAATAGAATGACTGTCTTTTCCCAAGTTGGGACTTTCTCAGTTTTAACATTGCAGTCTTTATCCGGGGACTGTTCAATTTTTTCAAAGTAGAAGTCATGCATCCCAGGAAACGCTTCTGTCCCAGGCAAACTAATGTCATTTGTTAGTTACCCTAGTGCTTAGCTGGCTATCAACTCACTGAGTTTCAAAAGAGGACTAAAACCAACTGCTGGCAAAATTGAAACAGAGCTATAATAGTCTACATCACTTTAATAGACATGTTGGCCAAATGAAGAAAGATCTGATGGTCTTATCTTTCTGAGCTGATCCTAGCATCTCAGGAGTGTGGGCTTCAATCCTGATGCCTCACATTGATAAAAAGCAACCCAGAGCCTGTCTGAGGGTATTTGAAACTAGGATGGCCAAAGATTATACCAATGGTTTCTACTATAGAAAATAATTCAATGGAACATAACAACTGTCTTCAAAAAATGTAAGATCATCACATTTTCTGGTTCTAGGGAAAAGACTTAGGATCAGTAGGTGCCATGTCTTAACACTCAGATATAATATCACCAAGGACCTACCTCCAGGGCTAGGGAATGCTCCTATCACCTTCCTGCCACTGACAGTGCTCAGATAAAGCAGGACGCCACTTGTCAGGAACACGGGAGAAGATCTCAGGATTCTAGTAGAAACCAGGTCACCAAGTTCCCTTCTAACACTGGGAGTTCTAAGTCCAGGTTCTTACAAAGTTTATCCACTTCCTTTGATTGGCAGTGTCCTTTTTTTTTTTCAAATCCCTTCCACTTTCACCTGTTCCCCTTCTCCTTCTTCAGTGATCATTCTCACAAGCCAAGACAAAGATCCCGGATGAGAGATCACAAACACAGAAGAGAATCCAGAAAGAATAGAACATGATTCTGAGGAAAACTCTTCAGATATGCCTTTAGGTCTTGGGGTCTGCTTTCTCATGCCCAGGACTTTATGAATTTAATAAAGCACAATCATAAACTGTGGCAAAAGAATGCAAGGCAATCCCTTTGTCCTGGGAGATAATGAGCGCATGGCACACAGCAGAAGCTGCAGTACACAGCAAGGGGAAAAGAAATAGTATGTCAAGCCAGGGCCAGGAACTTGCTGTCTGGATAGGGCATAACTTGCTTATTGCCATCCATCTTTTCTCCTCCCCACTCCCCTTTCAGCAGTGAGTTATAGAATTAATAGGACAAGTCAGCATCTTAAAGGGAGACAACAACTGGTTTTATTTTTAGGACTTACGTGATTTTCTCCATCTCTTCAATGACATTAAGACCCTCTCTTTCTTATTCTCTCTCCAGCCAAAGGGGTTTCGGCGTTACTACAGCTCCCCCTTGCTCATCCATGAACAGTTTGGATGCATTAAAGAAGTTATGCCCATTGGTGAGTTGGACATTCATGAGTTGAGTTGGGTTTTGAGCTGCAGAGTCAGTAATAAGTGCTGTCCTCCAAGGACTTCCAATGGCATTTGCCAGTAAATGGATGGAACTGGAGAATTTCATATTAAATGAAATAAGCCAGTCCCAAAAAACCAAAGGCGGAATGTTCTCTCTGATATGTAGATGCTAACCCACAACAAGGGAAGGGAAGATTAGAAGTTCATTGGACTAGACAAAGGGGAATGAAGGGAAGGGGGGTTGAATGGGAATAGAAAAGACAGTAGAATGAATCAAACGTATCTTTCCTATCCTTATATGTGAATATGCAACCAATATAACTCCACATCATATACAACCACAATATTGGGATCCTAATTGGAACAAGTTATTCTTGTTCTATGTATATATGATACGTCAAAATATATTCTACTGTCACGTATATCTAGAAAGAACAAATTAAAAAAATAAAACAGTGGCTGTCTTTGTTTGGTGGCTGCTTGGGTTGTAATTGTTTTACTGGAGGAAAAACAGAAGGTGGACCAAATTCTTCAAGGAATTTTCATCCTGATGAAGTTTGAAAAACACTCATGCCCCAAAGGCTCCTGATATGCTTTCTCAGTGATGAGCAGCACAGAAGAGTGGCAAGAGCATGGGGCACAGCTTCCCAAAGACCTGTGCAGAGCTGGTGGCCTACTGTTCTCTGCACAAATAACTAGATCTGTCAGATCCTACAAACTGAGAAGGGCAATCACTGTTTTCATAGTTGTTGTGAGATAGATAGATAGATAGATAGATAGATAGAGATACAATATATAGTATCTGATATGATAGTATATCTGATATAAATATGACATATACTGAGTATATACTATAGACCATAAGTATAAAGTGGGAACTCAGGAAATATCACTTATTCTTTAATGAGGAACTAAATAATGCCCTATATTTATAGATATTCTGGCTTAGATTTCTTCTTTTACCTTTCAATTTTCTTCTTTCTTCTTTTTTATTTTTTTTTCATTCTGTCTCTAAAAATCTCGACATCTATTTTTGCCTTTTTGGCTGGACAGGTTTTAAAGTAGAAATTTATAAACTGGAAACCTTTTAATTAGAAATTTATGAAGCCTGGTAATTTCAAATCCCTTTGAAAAAACACTTGCCCCCTGCTGCAAACATTGTGTCTCAAGAATGTGCCCTAGTGAGCAGAGCCTTTCTCTGGAGGAAATGAAAAGGGTCTCTGGAGTCCTGGGGATGGATCAGGAAAGAGGAAAACCAATCACTAGGGGAAAGTTTCAGAGCAGAGTCCTGGCTGGAAGTTCTGGGTGCCATGGTGAATGTGCACATGGTGGTGTGGAGGTCACGTCTGTGTGGGAAGCTGGATCTTCCCCAGGGCTGGCAGGTCAGCTGCAAAGAACCTACTTCTCTTCTCGGAGGATGATAACCCAGGAGTGATGCGTGGTGGGCGGGGTGGGCCCTCTCCGGTGAGCTTTCTCAGAAAAGCTTTCTCTTCTGTTGCAGCCTGTGGCAATAAGGTGGACCCTGTCTACGAGACCCTTCGCTTTGGCACTTCCCTGGCCCAGAGAACGAAGAAGGGCAGCTCTGGCAGTGGCTCTGATTCACCTCACAGGACCTCTGTAATTGTCCTCTCCCCCCCTCAGTCACTCATGGTGTCTCGGGCAGGGCCAGCCTCAGGTGCAGCAGTGTAAGAGATTTCATCTGAATGTGCCATGAGGATGATTCTTCTGAGAGTCAGGCTACCTCCAAAGGGTAACTCAAAGTGCTCTGGGCCACTAAGGGCTGACTTTCTGTTGTCAACGCCCAGGGCACATTTTACTTTTCTGCTCAAAGATCATTCTCTTGGCCTCATGACTTTTCCCATATATCTGTTTTGTTTTTGTTGTTGTTGTTGTTGTTGTTGTTGTTGTTTTTGTTTTTGTTTTATCCTGTCACCAATATTAGATGGTATATCAGTCAACACTTAAGAAATATTTGGCTGAGTCAGACATGGAGGTACACACCTATAATCCCAGTGACTGGAGAGGCTGAGGCAGGAGGATCCCAAGGTCAAGGCTAGCCTCAGCAGCCTAACAAGGCTCTAAGCAATTTAGTAAGACCCTGTCTCAAAATTAAAAAAATAAAATAAAAAGCAGGGCTGGAGATGGAACTCAGTGTAAACACACCTACAGGTTCAATCCCCAGCCCCCCCACCCCCCAAAAAAAGAAAGAAAGAAGGAAGGAAGGAAAAATAAAAGAAATATTTGACTCAAACAATGGGCGAAATCAGAGAAGGTCTGGATGTTTGCATTTCTCCTTCTAGCTTTATCCCAGTTAAAAAAAGATAGCTATTTCTCATATTTTCTCACTCCTTTCTAAGACAAGGTGTCCCTTGATTTCACAGAAAAATGGCCCTCCCTGGAAATGCTCGACCTGTGACTCAGTAGAACCTCTCTCCAAGGGACACTCACCCTCCCAAACACCTCTTTTGGTTCATCTGACCTAAACTGACTATTTAATGTATTTCTGTGCCCACCCTGTCTCTGGCTCTCCCATTCATAATTTCTATAAATGGTCCAAGATGCCACACCCTTGCTGAAAGCCACCATCCCTCCTAAAAAATGGCAAGGAATTTCAAGTGCACATGGCCATTCAGGAAGGCCTGAATAAGGTTGCATAAGGTTGCAGGACTGGAACTTTAGGCAGGACTCAGATGAGCCTCCAAATGGTCTACCCCTCTGAGTCATCAGGTGACTAGAGGAGGAGTAGAAGAAGGCAGAACACACCCCTGGAGGTGTCCTCAGGGCTGAGCTGAGGCAGCTCCCTCACTGGCTGCAGGTCTATTCATAAGATAGTCTGAGACTCTAGGCAGGGAATGTGATCAAGCCTGCAGGTAGATGTGTTTGTGGGTCTCTGATGCTACATGGTCGTTCTAGAAACCAATTCACTGAAATCTCTGTTCTTCAGAAACTCCACTGATTTATCTCACTCAAATAATTATAAAATAATTTTTAATCTTTTTCCTGGCTCATGCATAACATTTATGCTAATGAGGTTTTTCTTTTCCTTTTTTTTTTTTTTTTTTGCAATTTAACACACACAAATAAAAAGCCCACATTTACTAATTTTTGAAAACCAAACCAATAGAAGAGAAAGTTGAAGGTGGTGACATTATTTTAAAATATACCTGAATATGTCTTATGCCCTTTTATTAAAATTAAGAACATAGGATATATATGTGTTCAAGATATTACAATAACCATGCCACAGGAAAGCTGAAGGATTTCATAGTAAGATGGAAATGTTTAGCTTCAGAAGATACTTCCTCAAAGCAGTGAGGATATAATTTGTGACAGTTTAAGATACCTGAATCCCTATGATCTTTGCAGAGAGATTATTATCATTTGGCAGTTTAGAAGATAATTTTAATTCATTTATTGAATGAATAATTAAAATTGTGCTAAATGTAATTTTGAAAAAATATATAAAATGGATAGGAATAGAATTTATATTATAGTCATGCATCATAGGCACTTTAATCAATGACAGATAACATGTATGGTGGTGGCCCCACAAGATTATAGCAGAGCTGAAAACTTCTTATGGCCTAGTATTTTTACTGTGCATTTTCTATGTTTACATACACAAATGCTTATCATGGTATTAAAAATTGCCTACAGTATTTAGTGCAGTCACATGTTAGTCAGGTTTATAGCCTAGAACCAATAGGCTATGCCATATTGCCTAGGTGTGTATGGGCCATACCATCTAGCTGTGTATAAGTGCACTCAAGAATGTTTTCACAATGAAAAAATGCATTTTTCAGAACATATCCCTGTTATTAAGTGATGCATGGCTCTACATAAACTTGTTATGGCTACATGGGTAAGGTAATGATAATATAATAACTACATAAAGTATTTGCTATGATATAATAGTATACACAAAGTATCTAGCATAGGTCCTGGAATAATTTGCACTGAATAAATGGAAGTGGTTGCTGCTTTATTTTCACTGAGCATCTAAGTCTTAGCTGGATTTCCGTTAAACCTAAGTTATGAAGTTAAACAAGGGTGTCATCCATTCATGAGGATTTGAAGAGAGTATTTTCCAAAGCCCTCCATTGACAGGGCCCATGCCCAGGCTTTGTTGGAAACCCATGACTCATTGGAGGTTCTGCTGTTCTGCTCAGCTCATCTTCTCTGACTCATCTTCCACTTGCTCTTTAATTTGGACTTTTCCCAGGGATCTGTTTTTGCTTGGTCTTCTGGTTCTACATGCTCTTCCTGGTTGATCTTTACATTTCTCTTTTCCAACCATCATCCCTAAGCTTAGGTATTTCCAGTTCTAACTTCTTGCCAAAGCACCATGCCAGTCCTACAGATACTGCAACATGAGCATATCTAGACTGTTCTTGTGCTCCATTGGTGATTATGTTTCACGAGGCAGAACTCAGAAATATGTATCCTAAGTGCCCTTCTCTTTCACCAACTATCAGGACTTGAAACTCATTATCTCTCACCCAGATTACAACAAAGAAATATTTATGCTACTTTATTCACTTTGAGTGTACTCTTAGCAGCATCTCAAGTTGTATCATCCCTTAAATACATGCACAATTTTCCTAATTAAAACACTCTATTGAGTCACTTCTGCTGGAAGGACAATGCCCAAACTCTTCAGCATGGCTGATACAGATGAGCACTTGAGAAATAGTTAAAGAATGAGAAAGAATCAATAAGGGACTCTTGATGGCAAGATCCTCTGGGGTCCACAAATACTTAACTTCTCACATGCAAGCTCCCATGATACGAGGCTTTTCTTTTTTTTTTTTTTTTCCCTGAATTCACCAAGCTCTTGATATCACATCTTAGAAAATATTGCTCTCTACAATTGCAATTCTTTAAGATACAACTTGATTTCTATAAAAATAAAAAGTAGAGTCCCCAGACTCCCTCAAGCATGACCAGTCATTCCTTCCACAAGCTTTCAAGAGCTCCTTTCTTATTGGATATACTTGATTACACAGTAATTATCTTCTTTTGCATCAATTTCCTTAACTAGATAGTAAGTGGCTATACATCAGGGGCTCCTTCCTTATTTACCTCACTACACCAGGACCTTGCAAGGTCTCTGGCACATAGTGAGCACTTGAGAAATGGTTGAAGAATAGAGAAGAATTAATGAGAGACTCTTGAAGACAGACCTCAGAATCTTCCAGGGTCCACATAACACTTCATTTCTCACAGCCAACCTCCAGGAACAGCTCTCTGAAAAGCCATGCTCTGTCTAGTCACCCACACGTTGTCTCTAACTCTGCAGATAACATTCCCCCAGAGCTTCCTGCTTTGGCTGGGCACCTCTTCCCTGTTCCCCGTTCTCCCATAGCAACTGATTTATATAATGCTTAGTAATTTTTGCTTTTTTGTTTAATTGTTCTCTTGCTTTTCCAATCACCTCTTCCACTAAGACAGAGCTGTTTAAATGCAAGCGCTCTGTTTGCATTTTATTTCCAATACCTTATACCTGTGATTCTCAAACTTTGGTGTGCATCAGAATTCGATGGGGGAACCTAATAACAGCACAGAGGGAGAGGTTCTGCCCTATGTGAGTTTTATCAGCAAGCCAGATGATCCCAAATACCCACCAAAATTTGAGAAACATTCATCTATATAGTGTCTGTCCATTACAAATTCTCACTAAATCTATGGTGTATTAAAAAAAAAAAAATGAACACCAAACTCTCTAAACTTCTAAGAAGGACTTAAAGCTGGCAGTAAATTTGAATTAAGTACTTAAGTTTGGTTCCAAGGAAATCAGCCCTGCCAGCTCCTTCCTCTTTCTTTGTCTTATTCACAGTTGCTATCTGTGTGGACAGCTTTTAAATCACACATGTACAGCAACCAGAAGGCTGGATCTAAAGCTTGGAAACAAGATCAAAGGATGATAACCCTCTGCCAGATCCTATCTACCACATCACACCTTTCTCAAGGGAATGAGAAGGACCTGCGCTGCCAATGAGTGGCTTCCCCCAGAGCCACATAGAGCTGGTTTGCAGCCCATACCCCTTCACCCATTGTCCCTTACAAGTCAAGACTTTTTGTAGCTACCACCTAGCAAGCCAAAAGAAAAGCCCAAATAAAACTGATCAGAGTGAAGAGACTTCTTTCCACTTTGACCTGCATTTTGACCAGACTTGCATTCTCTCACGTCTCTGATGAGAGCCAATATATCCTCATTCCACTCCAACATAAGCATTTCCCACTCTTATATGAGACCAGCATTGGAGAAAAGGTAAACAGAAGGCCAAGGTGAGGCAAGGGTGGAGAAGAGGCTCCCCAGAGATGACCTTGAACTATCCATATAAAGAGTAGGTGGCTGACTGCTCCTGCAGTCCTTAGCTTTGCTGATCATATGACAAAGAGACATCCTTAGACACATTCCATAGTTTGCAATGAACATTTTAGCCTCCATTTTTGGCTAACTGTAAGAAGCAGGAGAACCATCAGAGGAATAACTGAAGGATGCTCAGTTCGCTTTCATCTCTAAAATACCTTTGTTTCTAACAACATTTGGACCCTGTAAACTGATTTTAGGAGCAAAAAGCACAGTTTCTGATTGTGTCAATAGGGTGTCATTCCTCACTGTCCAGTTATTCTAGTACTGATTCCATCAGTAAATATTTGTTGGAGTTTTGCTTATTGAAGGCATTGTTCTGAAAACCACAGGGAGACAAAGAAAAATCAAATTGTACTTGAGTATCTGTCACCTCACTCTTTTCCCAGAGACCAACTTGCCTCTGTAGAAGAAAACAGAGACAATTGATTGGTACTTTAAAATGATTTTGCTTCCTTCCTGCAGGGTCAAGTGATAATGAACTTCAGCCCCTTGCCATTCTTTAATGCTGTTATGTCCTAAAGCTAACTCATTCTCACATAGCAAAGCTTTGTTCTGCAGGTTTATTTTCTTCCAGGGCTGAGGAGGCATTTGTTCTACATTGTCCAGAAGTCACTGCCTGATGGTTTTCCAAATCGTTATGTTTTCAAAGAATGTTCTAGAATATAAAAAGCCTGATGGCTTTGGGGAGGCTTTGTTTTTTTTTTTGAAGTAACTTTAAAAAATATATTCTGGTTAGTTTGTGAATAATCTCAGTTTCATAAGATTAAATTGAAATAAATGAAATTCCCTGTAAAGCATTTGTGTGTAGAAATCATAAGCCTCAAAAAGAGCAGGGTATGAATGATGAGGACCTTGTGCTGGGTTGTTAGGTTTCTTTTTCCCCCCTTGTGTTTTCTTTTGTTTCCTTCTGATGTGTCATGAAAGTAAACTCTCTGGGGAAAAAAATCTTCAAGCTAAACTGTAACAAAAATCTGTCTTGAGTGAGGCCTTGCTAAGCAACTTAGCAAGACCCTGTCTCAAAATAAAAAATAAAAACAGCTGCAGATATGGCTCAGGGGATAAGCATTCCTGTGTTCAATCTCTGGTACCAAAAAAACAAAAATCTGTCTTGGAGGATGGTTCTCAAGCACTCTAGAGCTGATGAGGAAAGTAGGAAGGTGAACTTATCTTGTTCCACTCCAATAACATGTAAACAATTTATTTTTTAGAATGTGATTTTCTCATCCTCTTGGAAGAGGTAGAAAGGAGATAGGATATCTGATCATGTAAAAGTGGCCATAAGTGGTGTGCTGGTGAATGTTTAACCAACCAGGTTAGAGTTGATCCTGAATTGTAACATATGCCAGTTCCCATGACCATGACCAGCCTGATATGACAATGTGATAACCCTGAAGGCTCTCACCAGCCCATGCAGCCAACATATCATTGGATGGGCCCACTCCCCCACGTCCCACTATTTATTAGTTGTGGGACCTCTAGGAAAATCACTGTTTCTGGGATGCAGATTTCTACCTGAATCTCTCATAGGATTATTGTAAAGAATAAATGAGATGATACATGCAAAATTCTTAAAAACAGCACATGGTAAGTAATCAAGAACCATTAACTAATTGGAATGCCATTGTTGCTGTCTTTATTATTTCTGAAACCTAGATGGAAGAATGACTATGCCTTCTCTTCTTTAAAAAAAAGGAAGAATAAACATTACAAAAATAATTGATTTTGGCAGCAATGTAAATAGCACTTTATTCCTACCTAAGTAGTCATCCTTCAATAGTGCATCTGGTTCTCTATAATTAGTATTTAAAGCTCACCCACACAAAGAGTTATAGTTTCATTGAGATTTTTTTAAGTGACAGGATATGGGCAGGAATTCTGATTTCTCTCTGCTGTCTCTTCCTGGGAAGAAGCTCATCCAGCATTCATTGGGCACCTACCAAGGCCAAGCCTGAGCCTGAAGGGAGGCACTTAAGGACCAAGAGGGGACATACAGCCTTTCTGAAGTTAGCCATCAGAAAAAAAACAACAACAACAACAATAATTATTTTCTCAGGCATTGTGCAAATTCCACCTTAGCTTTTCTACTGACATGAAAACCACTGCTCAGTTGGCCCACTGATATAACATTGCTCATTCTGTGCTGTTTCCTCTTTCCTTCAAGACTTCAGACCTTGTGGAGGTTCCTGAAGAAACTGATGGGCCAGGAGACGGGTATGACCTAAGGAAACGCAGCAACAGTGGTAAGTGACATAAATGTCCCAGCACAAATGGGAACACATTAGTCAGGATTCAGGTAGAGTCCATTTCCAGTCCCCTCTCTTTCTCTGCTAGATCTAGAATCCAATCTGGAAAATCTAATATCAGTATTCTGGAAGGAAACGGGGCATAGTTCCTGGTCAATTTCAGACGCTTGATTCTGACATCTCCTTGAATTCTCCTACCTTAGGGGCTTAGCCATAGTGAGGCTCAGGAGTCACTTCCAGACCTTTCTGTAACTGTGTTATTTACTCCCCTGTCATAGATTCTATTAGAAAACTATACTACTGAGCAACTACTTTGCACTACATCCAAAGTACCTGAAACAGGTGAGGGAGAGGCATCAGCGAGGGGAGCTTGCTCCTCACACACAGCTGCTACCTAGCAGAGATGACTAAAACTAAAAAAATGAATCATACAATCCAAACATTCTTAATCAATATTATGTAATCCTCTAATAGCTTAAGCCCTTGTTACAATAATTTCTAAAACATTCATTAAATGCCACATACATAGTATTTTTCATTAAAATCATGAAAAAAAATCTCTTAAACAAAGATTAAAAACACACAGCCAGACCCTTACATTACATTCTCTGCAAGCCATTTTTGACATCCACTACCATTTAACCTTCACTCATTTATTGAAAAATGTTTGTGAAGCATTTATAATCACCAGCAAAAATACAGCAGTCATAAAACCTGTCCTCAGGTTGCTCACAGGCTAGGGAGGCTACAGGTCCTGACCTGTGTTGAGAGCATTTTTGTGGCAGAGTGAGCTCCTCCAGGCTTCAGTCCCTGTCTGCCGAGAATGGAGCTGTGCTGCCTTGGGTAGATGTTCCACATGACTAGTCACCCCGCCTTTTCTAGTCTGCAGGCAGAAGTTTTGCAATCAATACTGCTTAGCTGCTTTGGCAGCAGCATCTTAGGAGATATTGCTTCCACAGCCTTAGCTCTGGGAATTCATTTATGTCTCTTCTCTAGTTAGGACTCTGTCTGTGTGGGTCCCATAAAGCACTATGTGCTTAGCTACCCCCATGACTCTCCTTCCTAAATAAGCATCAGCACTCACCCTGGGCTTGCCAAGCCCACACACATCTGCTAAAGCTCACTGCTAGGGTGAGGATTCTTTAGCATTACATGGGGAAAACACTACTTTAGATGGATGCAAACATTGGTTGAGCACTTAGCAGTGCCATTAGAGAGACACATTAGAGGGTGTTGGCTGCCAGGGGAACCTCACAGCAGGCAGTACTAACTGCAGGATCAGCCTAGCCCCAGTCCATCTGGCATTGCAGGTCCAGCAATATAATTTGGTTAGTAACCCCAGCATTCAGTGTCTGAGCAACTAACACACCAGAAACTTCTATATAAACCAGACGTGCATGTTCAGACTTCAAGTCTGGTCATCCACTCAGTCCAAGTGCCTTCATTCTTCCCCTGATGCTCTTCCCACCAACACCACGGATGTCCTTCTCACTACCCACTGGATATTAGGTCCTTGGTGCATCCTTGCTCTGGAGGCAAAGCACTGCACTTAATAATTGTGTGACCTTGAAGTAGTGACCTAGCCTTTCTCCTCCTCAATCACCCCTACTCTGAAATGAAAATAATGGTAATGCCAAATCCATAGGATCACTGTGATCTTTGAGTGAATTAACAAATGTAAATACCATCTGTAATGGTGAGGATGCCAAATTTCATCTTCAGCATTAGGCTTTCCTGCTGCCTCCAGATCCTGATAGCCTACTGATCATGGCCCTCTGGATGTGGAATAGCACCTTAAAGCTGTGACATTTGCAAACTTGACTCTTGATGCTCCCACCCAGCCACCCAAATGGGCTCTTTCCACAATCGTCTCTGCTCAGTAAATAGGAACTCTATCAACCCATCCATCAGGCCAGAGTTTTTGATATTAGGTTTGACTTTCATTTCCTCTCACTCATATCAAATCTGTCAAGAAATCCTCTCTGCAGCTTCTCAGACTTATGCCCAGCAAATGCCCACCATTTAAATCTGCCTATGCTACCCAGGTCTGGCTCTATATATTTTACATGATAGTTAAATCCTCTATTTACCCTGAGGATTTCTCTCCAAAGGTGGTCTTAAGGAAATTTTATAGTATGAAGAGCTACACTTAGAAATCATCAATATGAAGCATAGTTGCTATTAAAAAAAGTCATCATGAGGTCATGAAGGGTCAGAGATTCAACTTAGACCAAGAATGGTTCCTGGGCCAGCAGACAGGGTACCTCTTAGAAGAATTTTAGAAATGCAGACCTATAGTCATCCAGACCTGCTGAATCAGAATTTGCATATAGATCTGTGGTTCATATGGTCATTAAAGTTTGAGAAGTAGGATTACAGGTCTTTTAATCTAACTCCCTCTCCTCCAATATCTCACACACACACACACACACACACACACACACACACACACACACAGAAAAGAAAACTAAGCTGCAGAGTAACACTCAAAAACACAGTTGATTGTTTTCCATCCCTTCTATGTTAAGGGGCAATTTCATAGCCTTATTCAAAGAGATCAGTTGAAAGAATTTTGTAAAATACAAACTTTCTAAAAGCTTTGGAGAGCAATTAAATATTCCTTTGATCAGCAATAGCTTTCTTTACAATATCCCCTTGGAAGCTAGGGGGATTAATTATGTAGCAGTTTGCTTCAAAATATTTTCCTTTGACTGATTTTAATTCCCTATCAATGTAGTTTGAGAAACAACTGGAGGACATCCCCAGCTCATGTAGTTTCCCCAGGGTCCCATCAGTCATGGCAAGAGGGACTGGCTTTCTAGAAGTGGTATCTGCGAAGCCAATGACAAATGGTTCTGCATTACATGTTTCATTTATGACCTAAAAAAATATTTCTCACAGGTGTTATTTCCTCCAGATCTCTGAAGTACCTTAGAAGCATATATAATTCATCCTAATGTCTTTACTTCTAAGAGTGCAATCTCTGTTTTCCTCTCTTAAAAATTTTCTTGGGTAGGATTGAGTGTTTTCAGTTATTATTTTCAACACTATTCCTGAATGCATTATAGACATAGAGTGGAAAATTTGTTGGTCTTCATCTTTGGCTTAACTGTTAGAAACTCCACTAATAATAAAGTAATAAGCAAAGAAGAAATATCTGGGCTGCCTGTCTCAGCTTGAAAAGCCAAATAATAGTTTTACTGGCTGCCTTCAATAATTGCATTTCAGTATGACTGTATGTGATCCCAGTTTTCCTGGAAGAGAAACAGAGAGAGCAGGACATAAGCAATACAAATTCCTAGAAATTTTCTTCAAAAAGGACTGGGTTAATCACATCCATTTGAGGATATTACAAAACCAATATTACCTCACTTTGCACTTAAGCAAAGAAGTTTTGCTCAGAAAGAGAAAAGGCAAGCTCAGAAGTGGAAAATTTATTCTTGTTTTAAGCATTCATAGGCTCTATATCTCAAAGTTGTCACCCTTCTCTCCCAGAATATTTTAGTGGCTCAGTGGACAGATAACCTCTGGTTCTTGTCCCCCTCCAGTGAGCAATTCCTAAATTGCAGATGTAAATATTTATGGTATATTTCTACAATACACTTAGTCTCCAGATCAGGTAATGATCTCTTTAAAAGTACAGAAGATTCTCTTTCCAGCAATATGGAAGGTTGGATACTCAGATGATTTTTTTTCCCTGTTTAGCACTCCTAAAACTGTTGAGGAAAAAAAATTTAAAGAAATTTCTAGATAATGCACTGAGAGAGCTGACAACAAAATAAGACAATTCCTTAGAGTCTAGAAGTGACAAGAAAACATGGATCTAGATGAACTCAGAGATATAAGCAGGTGAAGGCCAATATTTACTCTGCACATACCTGGAGCCTTCGGTGTAGATAATAAAAGACCCCCCATATGAACGATGAGGAAGAAAACTGGGTAGTGTGCAGGGTAACAGGATGGAAGAGAGGCCCCTTGGAAAAATGCTGACACCACAAAAGGCATCCTTCCTGTCACTAGCAAAAAAGAATGCCTTCCAGAGGAATATGTGTATCAGCCTGAACTCAGGTGGAGAAGGAGAAGAAGAAGAAAAAAGAAGAAGGGAAATAGGGGAAGAAAGAGAAACAGAGGGAAGGAGGATGGGGGATGGGAGGGAGAGAGGAAGGGAAAGGGAGGGAAGAAGGGAGGGAGGGAGAAAATAAGGAAGGAAGAAAGCGAACAACAAGTTCTTCCTACTTGGGTTTTAGGGACTGAATCTATACTACCAATATATGCAAAGTAAAACAATATGAAATTCTTGTTTACTTTACCTTAAAATGCCAAAAGCAGTACTGTCTCCATGTATTTAGCTGAGGTAAATGTAAGCTCTCTCTGGAAGAAGAGAATTTAAACCCACATGTACATGAAAAGTAATTTATTTTGCCTGTACTTTTCTTGTTTATTTTCTTGTTTATTTTTCTTGTTTATTCCCATGGGAACTTTAAAAAATTATTTTACTTTCGAGCTTTCCACTTTCTTAAGTTTTAGATATTTATTGATAGTATACAGGTCATTTAAAAATTTGGTCTGAAAAACTTGGTCTTTTATTGGGTTGCAATTGACTTCGTCAATCACTGGTAAATTTGAATTACTTCCTAAATATTTTATTTTGCATCTTCTATATGTCCCAAATTTTCTATGCTTTTTCTTCTATATACCTCAAAAACTTCCCACAGTAAACTTCCAAAGAAAATAAACTAACAAAAAAAAATTACCAAACATGAGAAAATGAGCCACCACTGGTGAGAATTATCAGGAAAAAAACAATTTTATTATCAGACTCTCAAGAGATTGTATATGTTGAAATTATCAAATAAAGAAACATATAGCTATTTTAAGTGAACTAGAAAAATGTAATAAAGGAACATTAGACTATCAAAATTAATAGGAAAATTTGAATAGAAACTAAGTAGACGCTCTAGAAGTTTTTAAAGTAGAAATGTGATTGATAAAGTTAA